CCCTAACACCGTCGTGCTCACATCAATCTTGCTCACATCGATGAGAATCCGAGGCCTAAATCTGTTTCAAACAGAATTAATAAAACACACATAACAAACATTTGAATACATTTTGTTGATTGTTGTTTTCCCTTACAGAATCCTGGAGAAAGCGTTTCGATTCTCCTGAAGAGTCCACTGATCCTCTGCACCAGATGCGTAGTAATCATAAACCATCTTCGGCAATTTCTCCTTTGCGATCTTCTCGTACTCCATCACGTTCGTTATCTCCATTTTTCCAAGCTCAAATCAAATGAAACGTCGTCTCTTTCAATCTTTCATCATCACCAAATTTCCCAGAAAATTTAAGATTCAGAAGCAATAACAAGGACTGATAAACTATACGGTCAACGATTATAACAGTTAAGAGTAAGCGATCACAGAATCAAACAAAAATCTGACCCAGATTAATTCTAAAATCACACTTCGCCAACTTCGATTTTCGATCTAAATTCAAACGATCGTAAACGAGAGACGTGTACAGAGAGAGCTTACGAAGAAGAGCGGCTTGGTCGTCTTGGGAAGAAGGTGGCGAAGAAAACTATAAGACAAATATGAAATGCTGTGGATTCAACAATATTCCTGATATTCTTGTTTGACCAAATTTTTTTTTATTTTTAAAAGACGTCACTCAGTCATAAGTGACGTCACTCTGCTTATATTATTTGTGTGCTTGTGGGCTCGTCTACGCATGCAACCCCAAGCAGGTAGATGACATTTTCGTAAAAAAACATTGATACAATATTAATAAATATATAAACATAATTTATTACAAGATATTTTTATATATTCTGGTACCAAAGTAGTCAGATGTTCGATCTTATATTCCTTAATTCATAAAACAACAAGATAAAATCACTGTTATAAACTTTTAAAAGAAATGCATACTATCCTTAATTTTTATTCCATGATAGCACACGCACCATGGGTTCTATACGATCCTTCCTAAAATAAATTCCATCAACTTTTGCTGTCCATTCACGTTCCGCTCCACATCGTTGTTTCGCACGGGCTCCTTTGTATACTTGAACATTGTAATAATACTCTAATTTAGGACCGTGCTTCAACATACATCTATACACCTTGGTTTTTCCAAATCCATATGTCGGATCACTGAATAGGATTTTATATGGATACGCCTTGTAGCCTAAGTTTGCTACGCCCATATCTTTTTTCCCGTTGAAGCAATGTATATTGAGAGTCGCAGAGGGCGTAAGTTCGTTGGATATTGTAACTATATTGCCCTTATCACAACCTATGCGTGCTTCGTTTAAGTGAAAATACAAAACAGTAACTAGCATCATATTAGTATTTGCAAATCAATTTTCGTGAATGGAGCCACCACGTTAACTCTCAGCCGCGGAATTACCGAGATGCCTTAATGAAAATCTTTCAATTAAATCTTCGAATTTTTCCTTTTTTATTAAAAACGAATTTGATTATTGACTTTTAATATTTTTAGATAAATATGTTAACTACCATATCCCGCCTTATTTTTGGAAGATATTATAAATTTTAGGAAGATAAATAATAAGTAAACCCTAAGATTCTTAACTGACCTGTATTATATAAATAGATACGATCTTGGAAAAACAACACAATTTTCATTACGATTTGCAATTTGTCTTTCAATACGTAATTTTAGTTCTTAGATCTCATATTCTTCTTCACATGTACCTTAATTGTTTTAGTTCGATCTTAGTTCTAATAAAACTATTTATGAACTGATTATTTGTTATTTTCTGTCAATATCATCTATTGATCCGCTTCTAACTACTTCCTCTCTCACTTTTGTAACAGAAAATTCATTATTTGTAAGCTGATGGAATAGAAGTTCATATATGGTCCCAAGCCAGAAGTATTCTTCCCCAAAAATAGAGGGTATGAACATCTTTTCTTTTATATATCAACTTAATATTCATGAAACCCTAATTCTAATGATGAGAGTATAACGTTTTCTGTTTTTTTTTTTTTTTAGTTTCTTCAATGAAGCTGGAGGAATGGAATTGGCGGAGCCTGGAAAGAAGAATGATTTCGGGAGCATATTAGCAGGTACAAAGATTTGGTTGAATCTTGAGATCATGAGAGGCCGTACCACATGATGTGCATGTGGCTTTGGATTGATTGTCTTTGCAGATCCTTATGTTGTTGTAGAGAGAATGATCATGAAGAAACAAATCATTGATGGCCGATCGGTTAATATTCTAAAACTCATCAAAAATCCTTCATCAATCTCTGTAACATATGATGTAACCTTTTGTTTTTTTTTCTTACTTGCGCAGTAAGCTTTCTTTAGTAGGACAAGACGATTTTTGAGTTCCTGTTTCGTCTACTAAAGGAGAGAGAACCTTATTCTGAATTCTTCTTACTTTTGGAGAGTCGAGTCAATTAAAGAAAAGAGAAACACTACGAAGAGGTAATGATTCAATGAGAAGATATTTCCTGATGCTAACATGTGGCCAAATTACGATGAAATTGAGGATGAAGAAGATGACAAAGAAGAAATACAATATTTATTCACAGTCTCCTCGACTCTCTTCTTTTATTTTATCAGTTTCATCTTTCTTCATGTAAGAAGAAATACAAGAAGAAAGATGAAACTAATAAAATAAGATGTTGCAAAAATGAAAAGGATTGATAACACAAAATGATAAAGAGTACAAAATGAAATAAGAAGAAAAGACTGAATAAAAACAAGGAAAAGATGAAAGTTGGAAGACAAAGACGGAAAAAACAAAAGAAACAGAACAAAAGAAGAAAATATTTGAAGAATATGTGAACAATAAAGAAGTTGAAAAAAAATCAAAAGATAAAAAAAACGAAGAATAAGAACACAAAGACAGTTGAAAAACAAATTGTAAATAAAAGGAAGAAAACTGATAAAAAGCAGGAAATAATAAGATGATGATGAAGAGAAAATTAAAAGAGAATAGAAAGTTTGATAAGAATAAGAAAAAAAATAGTAGAAAATGAAGAAAAAATATGAAGTAAAAGACAAATTAAAATAAAAAGATAAAATAGGGTTGAGGTTTATGATGTACGGTTTATACTGATGGGCGTAAAATTTAGTTGTTGATGCATTTAAAAAAATTTGAATACACTAAATTACCGATATAAAAAACTTATGTTAAAAATAAAATAAAAGTAAATATAGAACCAATTTCTAAAATGTGGGTTCGGGTGTACAGATTGGCGGGAGGGAGGGGGGAGCGGGGGCGGAGGGTGTTACACTATGGTGTTTGGGTTGTTTAGGGGGTGGTGTTACACTGTAGGGTTTGGGTTTAGGATGTAGGATTTATATTGATGGGTGTAGGGTTTAGTTTTTGGTGCATTTTAAAAACTTAAATTATTATAGAAGAATTTCATTATAGAAAATCATTTATTATAAAAAGTTATACTATTTATCTTATTAAAACTTTTAATTAATTAATGTATTTTAAAAATATTGTACCCGCACAAGGTGCGGGACAACCACCTTGTAAAAACTATAAAAGAATTCATTTTGTTTTGGATCTAAGATAAAGTTTTGGAATAGTAAAGGGCATCAAAGCTTAGTATTTATAATTCTTTTGTGTGGACAACTTTTTTTATGGACACCTAAATTTATTCCCAAACCTGAATTGAATAAATCTCTGGTCGTTTAGCATAAAATTATGGTTATCCAATAAATTAAAACCAAAATAGCTTATAAACTAAATTAACAGTTCTTACTAAATATAACTGACAACGGAAATGAACGCATAGACTCTGGAGAAGTGGAGAGTGAATGAGAACTTGAGATTGATGCAATCGCAAAGACTATAGGACAGGAAAAGAAAATACAGAGCATAGTTCCATTAAGCCCATCCAACTTGTGACGAAAGATAGTGTCAGTTTTAAAGAGAATCAAACATTTGTAGTACAAGCAGAAGAATCTAACATTTGCAACACCAAGCTAAAGACATGACATGTGTTTGAAGGTCCTTGCCGTCAAAACAGATACAGATTCTGGTGATGACCATATAAACAAGATGCTCAATTACTACATGCTTATCATGCTTATCCCTATTATTAATACACTAAATTTCTGTTAACAATAAATAAATTATTGTAAACTCAAATAATACAATAGCTAAAAAAATTCCATGATTGTTTCAGCAGCACAAGTAGCTCTCGCGGTTGAATATTCCTGAAATAGACTTAGACACACACAAAAAAAACAAATATTCCTGATATAGACGTCACACACTCACAAAGTCACAAAATAACGTACGTCTCCACGTGTGCTTGTCACGTGATTGGCACGTTTTTAAATACCATTTCTTCTTTGCTCGTTTTTAACACCAACTGTTCGACGAAATTCCTGGACCAGTTTCACGTCTTTCATCTTTTCATACAATTTTCGTCTTCTTAAGTTCATAACAGAGTTCTCAAATCTGCGACAACATTTCCCGATTTATAAACAAACAAAGAAAACAAAAAGAGAGGTAATTTAGACTACCTCATTTGGGGTCTCCAGCTAGAGACCAACACCAGCTTACGCCGGGAAATTACTTTCCACATTCGGGAAGAAGACGCGCACGGAGACATCTCCGGCGAAGAAACACCAGATTATACTGGGAACGATCTCGAGACTTTCGTGCTCGGAAGAAGCGGCAAGAGAAATTATCTCTGCCGAAATGGTACCAATATGGACTCGAACCCTGGAGGGAGAAGCTTACTCGTGAGAGACTCAACCACCTTTGACGGATCCGAATTGGTGTTATGTTCTCTATTTAATATCACTTTATAACTCTAGATAAAATTGAAGCTTAACCGAAATTTCGTCGGTTTAGAATGGTTTGCTTATTACTTCGTCATAACCAGGAAAAATTCGACGCAAACCGATTGATTTATCGAACTTATTTCCGGTTCGATATCTTTATCTCCTCTGGAATTTGAGTGAGAGGAGAGCCATTCTCGTTGTGAAAGAAGAAGCAGCCATGGCCGTGGTTTTTGCTTCTTCTAAAGCTTTTTCCTCAGTCTTTCATACTTTAGCTCCATTCAGTCGTTCCAGTTTCCTCTTAGCTTGCTCCGGTTCTAATACTGTCGATCGGAGAAGAAGAATCGTCATCTTCGGTTCGAGTTTGGCGATCGCGTCGACTCTGCTTGGTTCCAATCGACAGAGACATCCGGAGGAATCTGCGATTGCATTAGAACAATTGAAAGAAAAAGAAGATGAGCTTGAAGTAGAAGAAGACAGAAATGTCAATCTCTTCCAGGTTTTGCCTTAAAATCTTTCCTTGAAATGCTTTCTTTTCTGTACACAAAAAATTGAAAATCCCAATTTGTTTGCATTTCGCAGAAAACTTCACCGTCTGTTGTTTTCATCAAAGACATTGAGCTTCCAAAAACATCATCTGGTGAATTCACACTCACTGATGAGGAAAACGCAAAGGTCGAAGGAACAGGATCAGGCTTCGTTTGGGATAAGCTTGGTCACATTGTAAGCAAGAAACATTCTTTCATCTGTTAACAACAAACTTAAGCTTTCTGGTTTGTGAATCCTGAGGAAAAAAAAACTGAAAAAGAGCTTGTTTATTGTACAATGTAGGTGACAAATTATCATGTCATCGCCAAGTTAGCTACAGATCAGAGTGGATTACAACGTTGTAAGGTCTCTCTCCATCTTCTGTTATTTAATCCAATTGCAGCAACAACAAAAAAACCCACAAAGCCAAACCAAAGTAACATTTTAAGAGCAACTCACGGTTTGGGTTTTTTTTTCTGTGTGTGTGCAGGTGTCTTTAGTTGACGCCATGGGAATAAGATTTAGCAAAGTTGGGGAAATTGTGGGTCTTGATCCAGATAACGATCTAGCTGTTTTGAAGGTAAATAACTACTGCTACCATTTGAGCAATTACATTGTATAGTGTTATAGTCCTTTTAACTAGCGCTATATATGTAAATATCTAGATTGAAACCGAGGGACGTGAATTGAAACCTGTTATTCTCGGTACCTCAAGTGATCTACGCGTAGGCCAGAGTTGCTACGCCATTGGGAATCCGTATGGATACGAAAACACCTTGACAATAGGGGTAAGAGTTGAGAGATCCTGAGCTTTTGTTGTACACATACATACACTGATGCCTAAACATTTGATCTGAAAACGAGATTTTGTAAATTTGTAGGTAGTGAGTGGGTTGGGAAGAGAGATTCCTTCACCTAATGGCAAAAGTATTCGAGAAGCTATACAAACAGATGCTGATATTAACTCTGGTAATTTCTCAAAACATCTCTCAGTTTGTTTTTTTTTCATCACAGTTGGTTGTTTTAATGAAAAAATTGTTTCTATTTTGGGGTGTTGTAATAATATATAGGAAACTCTGGAGGGCCCTTGCTTGATTCTTATGGACATACCATAGGCGTCAACACTTCCACATTCACACGCAAAGGTTGAATCTTTTTACCAAATCTAAGAAGACAAAACATAACTCTGTTCTTTGATTCTCTGTTTTTTAACCGATGATGTTTGTGTTGCAGGGAGCGGTATGTCTTCCGGTGTGAACTTTGCCATTCCCATTGACACAGTTGTTCGAACAGTACCATATCTCATTGTGTATGGAACAGCTTACAGAGACAGGTTTTGAAGGAAGAAATCACATGTTCGTTGAGTTTGTTTTTTTCATTGTTGTTGATGATACAATTTGAAAAGTTTCAGACTTTCATTCTTCCTTTAAGTGTAAATACAAACACACACAAAAAAATCCAAAAGGGTTTTGCGATGTATACATTCTTCTTCACAAAATTAAGTGGATCAATTATATCATACAACACAAGAACATGGAATAAAGTTTTTGGTTTTGGGCAACAATCAATAGACCACACATTGTGTATGGAACAAACTTTTGACGTTTCAAGACTTTTTGTCTTGTAAATATAAATACAACACTACTCCATGAGCTTTTTGCAATGCATGTAAACAATCATCTTCACAAAATGTGAATCGTTTATATCATACAACACAAGAACATGAAAGAAAGTTTTGATTTTTGGCGATAATCAAGAGACCACTCATTGATGAAAAATCTGGAGAGAATCTGTCATGAAGTCTTAAAAGAGAGGCTCTTTACTCTTTCAGCTGAATCAATGAAAGCTGTTCCTCGATGGAGCAATCGACATGGCAAGATGTTCTGCAAGAGGAAGGGATTAAGATCATACCGAGACAACGCTGCTCAGTAGGCGAAGGAGACGATCGTCTTATGCTACGATACTCCACAGTGTCTTGGAGGATTATGTTTCCTTGTTTGTCAATGCAATGGAAGTTGCCGAGGAAGAATCTCCCGTCTTTGATTCCCACCAGCATCTGCCGGAACAAGAGCTTCCTCACTCGAGCTATCGGATCCAAATCCGACACTTCAGAGGTCGATGCAACATTGGTGGTGCTTGCGCTTCTCTCTGCATCTGTTTCCATTCTCACAGCAGTTTGTAGAATCTACACGACAACAAACTTCATACATCAATAACACAAAAGGGCACAGACGCATTATGCAGAAACAGATAACCCATTTAATTTCAAAGATGTAGTAACCAAAGTTCAAAACTTTTTGATAATCTGATTCTTGGCTCAATCATATGAAATTACATGACAGAGTGATTTTACGGAGATGGAACCAAACAGGGCTAATTCCAGAATCTAAACCGTTCAAAAACTTATACTAATGAACCAAAAGCCGATTAATTTGTCAAGGAGAAATTCTAAGATTAACAACTTCGAATAATCTAGTTATGCAACCAGAAACGAGATTTTAACATTCAAAACGAAAATTAGGCAACCCAGAAATTCTCAATGCGCTACACAAGTGGAGTATAAGAAAACGTTCATAGAGATTGAACAACCTAGGGCTCCTTTCTGTCTTCGGTTTCGAATCTGTGGGATACCGAGAGAGTCGAGAGAGAAAGCTAAACAAAATTACAAAACAAAGGGGTTCGAGAATCTGCGTAATTGATGTAAAGGCCAAGATGTATGTACAATTGTAATATGGGGCTCCTACTTTTAAATCTACTCTTATTTACCCTCTTAATTTTAATGTCCTTGTGGACAAAATTATCAAAATATATCCGTTGAAGTCTGTCATAATCTCTCTCACGCGTCACACGCGCTTTTGCTTAAACCATGTAATTTATCTTCTTCAAACTACGGAAAAACAAAAATCAAAAACTCGAAGATCATTCTCTCTCTTGAAGATTCCTTTCCTCTCTCTCTCTTTCTCTCTGCACAAACCTTTCCTCCATGCGTTATCTTCTCTCGAAGATCTGATTCTTCCTCTTCCTCCTCCATCTTCTCAAATCGGAAACAAATCTCCCAATTCGCTACTCAATGGCCGTAATTCTCCGTTCAGATCCGCTCTCTCGGATCCACCCGGAGCCCCAAACCCTAGAAATCGACCACTTCGATTACCTCCCCGACTCCATCCTCCTACTCGTTTTCAACAAGATCGGCGATGTCAAGGCCCTTGGTCGTTGCTGCGTTGTTTCCAAGAGGTTCCATTCCCTCGTTCCTCATGTCGAGAATGTCGTCGTTTCGCGTCGATTGCGTCATCTCCGACGACGAGTCCTCCTCCCTCTCTTCCGATAAGCCCCGATCTGCCGCCGCCAGTCCCTTCTCCGCCATCTTCCGTCTCGTTACAGGATCTGGGACAGTTCCTCGGCACGAAGCGGTCGTCTGGCTCTTCTGGATCGTCTTCCTCTTCTTCCGAGAGATCGAACAAGGCGGGGTCTTGTGCTCTCTTGTTTCAGAGACTTTGTGATGATCCACTGTCTGGATCATGTTCTGGTATCAAGATCCACAGTCTTTGAAGGAAGATGTTTCCAGAATCTTGAAAGATGGGATGGGGTGGAATGGTGCGATATCGTCATCTGCTTAGCGGTTTTTGCTTACGTGAGTTCCATTTAACCTTATGCCGTCTCATCTCTGATGCTTTCCATCTGCCTTGCTTTCTGATTTCTGATGCATTTTTTCAGTCTTTGAGTTTCTTGCCGGTTTGATCTCTGCAATAGTTGACATCATTTCAAGACCCTGTTGCCATTCTCTGATGCATACTTTCCTTTCCAGTGTCAATTTCTGAGAATCTTGGCTGCTCCTCTGCTCATACTATCAGTAAACCAATTACTGTTCCTAAGCAACAACGACGAGATACTAATTGCAAGCATTAGATGACAACTGAATGGTAAGTTTACATAAAAATAAAAACTTGTTTGATCTATACATATACATGTCCGTGTGTGTGGTTTTTGAACGATGTTGTTTGTATCTTCTTTCAGGGCTTTGGCTTTTAACTTCCCGGATTGGTTTTATTTTGCTCTTCTCACAAGTGGAAGGTCTTTCCATTGCTGCGGCAACATATCTTTGCTTGGATTCTTAACCCTGTAAGTGGAGCCATCCAATTATCACTAACTCACTCTCTCTTTAGAGTCTCAGCGATCTGTACCAGCAAAAAAGTTGTATTATTTGTTGACATTTCTTCTGGGTTTTCCAACTTATTCTATTCATGGAATATGTGTAATTAATTGTCATCAACTCTTTTAGCCAACTTGTTTTGCTGTTTCCTTATGTGCAGGGGAAGGAATTCAAATGCTAAAATCAGGGGTTTGCAGTAAAACCATACGATCAGTTCTCGTCGGTTACATGAACGGCAGAAAACAGGTTAGCTCTTTTACTCGTTATTTTTTGGTCTTGTGTTCTTGTTCTAACAACAAAGGTCCTCTTTTTATAAAACTCAAAGCCTTTTTCGCTTTGGTTCTGCTTTTATCAAGATTTTCAAAGCATTTACAAAGCTTTGGTTTTGGTTTTATCAAAGTTTTAAACCCAAAAGATCATTGGCAGACACTAATCTAATAGTGTTTTGTCAGAATCTTGTTTGGGAACAATGTCCCGTTTGATTGGTTGGTAGTGCATGTCTAAGGAAAGGAAAGTCAGGGGATGGAAAATAAAACACAGAGCTTGAAAGTCTTTTAGAGAAAGACTATGGGTGTTGCTGCCTTGGTTGGAAGGGAAACATGACCGATGGCTTATAAAAGTCTTAAAGACTATAAAAAGTGAGAATGTCCCGTTAGATTGGTTGGTAGTGCATGCACAAAGGATGGTAAGGAATGGAAAATAAATCTATGGGTTGGTTGGTAGTGCATGCTTGAATGTCTTTAGCAAAGACTATGAGTTGGACTTGTTGGATGAGAATTATGACCGATGGCTTAGAGAGTCTGAGGACTATAAAAAAAGGTTTGACGTGTTACTTGAACCCATGGCTTGAGAAAAGTAGTGAATCCGTTAGTACCCACGGCTTATAAAAGTCTTTAGACAAAGACTTAACGGATTCACTACTTTACTACTACCCACGGCTTATAAAAAGTCTTTAAGAAAAACTCTTAAGGCAAAGACTTTTACTTCAAAAGGGGTTCTTTGCTTTACTTGTACCCACGGCTGATAACAAAGTCGAAAGGCAAAGACCCTTTACTTGTACCCACGGCTTAAGAAAAGGCAAAGTCTAGAGACATAGACTATAAACCAAAAAAGTAAGTCTTAAACATGACCACAAGGCTTACATAAGTCTTAAAAGCAGAGACTATAAACAAGGGAAAAGCCATCAGACAACAAACGATCAATGGCTGGAAAGTCTGTAAAGACGGAGACTATGGGTTGTTGGATGGAAAAAATGACCCAATGCTTAAAGAAGTCTTAAGCTAGTACCCACGGCTTGAAAAAAGTCTTTAGAAAAAGACTGGATCGGTTTTTGGATTTGCTGGATCCATCAGTCTAGACATAGACTATGAACCAAAACAGATTCCTTAAACAAGGCTGAAAAACAGAAACACAAGGATTAAAAGAGGAAAGCCATTAGACAACAAACGATCAAAGGCTGGAAATGTTTCGAAAAGACAGACTATGGGAAGAGATTCTCGATGGAAAAATGAACAAATGCTTAAAGAAGTCTTAAGCATGGCTTATACAAGTCTTAAGGCAAAGAACTGAAAAGGATTCTTAGCTTTACTATTACCCACGGCTTAGAAAGAGTCTTAGGGAAAAGACTGTGAACTGAGAAAAGTTCTTTAAGAGAATGACTTGGAGAATGAGTCTTAGTAACCCACGGCTTAAATAGAGTAATAGTCTTAAGACAAAGACTTGGAAAAAATTACTCACTTTACCCACGGCTTACAAAAGAGTTAAAGACAAAGACTTGGAGAATGAGTCTTAGTAACCCACAGCTTAAAAAGAGTAATAGTCTTAAGACAAAGACTAGGAAAAGATTACTCATTACCCACGGCTTATAACAAAGTTAAGACAAAGACTTGGACAATGAGTCTTAGTAACCCACGGCTTAAAAAGAGTAATAGTCTTAAGACAAAGACTTGGAAAAGATTACTCACTTTACCCTCGGCTTATAACAAAGTTAAGACAAAGACTTGGAGAATGAGTCTTAGTAACCCACGGCTTAAAAAGAGTAATAGTCTTAAGACAAAGACTTGGAAAAGATTACTCAGTTTACCCACGGCTTACAAAAGAGTTAAGACAAAGACTTGGACAATGAGTCTTAGTAACCCACGGCTTAAAAAGAGTAATAGTCTTAAGACAAAGACTTTGAAAAGATTACTCAGTTTACCCACGGCTTACAAAAGAGTTAAGACAAAGACTTGGAGAATGAGTCTTGAGACAAAGATCATGTATAAGACGATTCATGATCTGCGCCTTGAAAGTGACAAGGTAAGTATGAGACTATGAGGTGTTTTGCTTGAAGTAGAGACTAACTATTTCTAATTTTGATTTTTTCAGGTATATGCTACAGAAAGTGTTCATATTCTTTTTTAAAGGAGAAAGTGTTCATATTCGCATGGACTTCTCTGCTTTTTTCAGACATAATGACTTCGCAGGTATGCACTTTTCTATATTTTTCTGTATTTAGTTGATATTATTAAATATGAAAATCACAAATTAAGTTAAGTTTATGTATATATACGTAAAGTATTATATGAAAATCACAAATTAAGTTAAGTTTATGTATATATAGATAAAGTTCATATTCTTTTTTAAAGGAGAAAGTGTTCATATTCGCATGGACTTCTCTGCTTTTTTCAGACATAATGACTTCGCAGGTATGCACTTTTCTATATTTTTCTGTATTTAGTTGATATTATTAAATATAAAAATCACAAATTAAGTTAAGTTTATGTATATATATATATACATATATATATATGTATGCTACATAAAGTGTTCATATTCTTTTTTAAAGGAGAAAGTGTTCATATTCGCATGGACTTCTCTGTTTTTTTCAGACATAATGACTTCGCAGGTATGCACTTTTCTATATTTTTCTGTATTTAGTTGATATTATTAAATATGAAAATCACAAATTAAGTTAAGTTTATGTATATATACGTAAAGTTAGAAATACTCATCTAAGTGCCATTTTAGTTTCTCTTTGATATATAGGTGTTCATAATTTTCAAGGACTTATTTGCTCTTCAGACAGAGAGACTTCACAGGTATGAGCTTTCTAGATCTTTCTGTATTAAATTGATATTAGTTCATATGAAAATCACAAACTAAGTTAATTTATGTATATCTACGTAGTGAAAAATGGGACCTTAAAAATACTGATCTTAAGTGCCGTTTAAGTATTTATTTAATACTCAATTAATTGATGAAATGGTAGACTTTGTTTTTGGTACAAGAACATTTGATTGAATTGAGTAACCACTGTCTTGGTTTTATGCTTGAATTGGTGCTTGTGTGTGAGTGTATCTTGGAATCTCTTGTAAATATTTATTTCCTACCATATCCATTTGATAAAGTGGTACAAAAAACTTCTTGCTTACGTTACAATTATGTGTTTACAGTTTCAGTAGTCTCTATCCTGAATAGAAAAACAATTATCATCTTGTTGTGGTGCTTGTGTGTATCATATGGCCTCTCATTTTGAAAAATAGATGTATCTTGGAGTTGCTCATGTAGATAGTTATTCTAAACGTATTTGAGACTCATGCATGCATATTATGGTGTTAGTTTCTTTTGCATTATGCTCTGAATCTTGGGTGATCATTCTAATCATGCGAATTATGCATCCTCACATCATACATATGCAACATTTATTGATGATTGTTTGCTTATGATGGACAATTTGAATATCAATGTTAGTTTTTTGTTGTGTTTGGGATTATAATTGATCTTTCTTGATTTCCCATACATGTTTCTTTTTGTTTTAGTAACTGTTTCTTAAATAAAAAATCTAGCTATTTGCAGTATCTGAGTACCAATTTATCATCCTCCTTATAGGCATGTCGAATAGATTCTCCGATTTGCTCTGCTGTTGAGGTCAATATTCTGTGTATCGTAGTTTCTGTAACAGTTGTTAGACTTGCAAGTTTTTGATAAAATCCAGTTTTCTGTTACTTTGTGATATTTCTCTGCAATAAAATAGTTTCTGGGATAACTGAAACTTTGGTTATCTTTTGCTCTGACTTTCTCTGCTATTACGTAGTTATTGAACATAGTTTTAGAAATAATTCAAACTTTGGTGTCGAAATCAGTTTTGTTCATCAGTTTCGTTCCCAACCTTTGAACAATTTTTATCTATGTTCGTATAAAATTTGTAGTATTATTGATATCTCTGTTTTAGGTGTTCTACTTACTTATAAAGTCTTCAAACATAACGCATCTTGGTTCTTCATTGTACATGTAAAGTTGCATCCCTAATTCCCTCTTCATCTGTCATTGCAAGAAAAAAACCTTAGAATCCAAAAAGACAACAATCTAAGAGAATGAGGAATAACTCA